GGAACAACAACTTCAAGAAGATTGGTTTGCACTGTTTATCCTCTCTTAAAACACTGTCGATTTCAGGGGAAGAAGAAGAACATCCTGTGGGTTCCAGCGTTCCGATAGATGGGATGTTGCTGCCCACCTCTCTGATCGTACTTTGGATCCGTAATTTCCGAAATCTGGAGAAGCTATCTTCTAAGTTGTTTCAAAACCTCGCCTCTCTTGAAGACCTTTGCATCTGGGATTGCCCTAGGCTCAAATCTTTACCAGTGCAAAGGCTGCCTCCCTCACTTAATGAATTGTCGATCGAGAGATGTCCGAGACTAACAGGGAAGTGTGAAAAGGGGAAAGGCAAATATTGGCCCACTTAGCTCACATTCCTCGAGTCAAAGTTTATGAAAATGGAAGATGATGGGCACCGCAATGCAAGCAGTCAAATTACCAGGTATCAAAACAGAAACTAATTTGATAAATATAAACATTTAAAAATTATTTTCAGATTTTAAAAACAAAATATTTTTTCAAAAAGTGGAAAATCATAATGAAAAAGATATGTTAAATTTAAATTTGGAGGACCATTATGGGATGAGTAAATAATTTTTAAAATTTTGGTTGGTTTTGGAGGTTTCAAAAATAGTTTTAAATTTTTAATTCGTATTTGTTTAATATATTGACTCATTTGTTTTATTTTTAAATACATCTAATCTGCATATATTTTTAAAAATTTTAAAAATATTTAAAATTTTTAATAAATATAAAATACATACAAAAATGTATTAAATTTGTATATTTGTTAATATTTAGTGATTTTTTAAATGATTTTTTTTCATAAATTTTATATGGTTTAGGTTTATTTAGATTGAGTGTATCTAAAAACGTAAAAAATATTGATTAAAATACTTAAAAATTTCACTAAAAATAATAAAATATAGATTGAAACTTAAAAACTATTTTTGAAAGCTCCAAAACAAAACATAGTTTTCAAAATTATTTCAAATTCGAAAACTAAATGACTTTTGGATTTTTAAATTTGTAAAAACTATTTTTAGAATATACAGCCAAACAATTTTAGAAAATTATCTTTCAAAATTGATTATGAAAACCAAACCTTAGTTTGGGTCAAGGTTGTTAAAATCGGGATCCTATGTTGGATCGTTGGAGGTGTTTATAGGATCGGATCGTAGAATCGGATCGAGGATCGTAAGATCCTACCGAAAAAGACAAATTACATAATAATTTAATTTAAATAAATATTTCTTATAAAGTATACACAAAATGAACTTATATTCTATTAAAAAGAAGCGAAGATATTGTGAAAAATATAATACTTCATGTAAAATGTACATATAATATTATGCAATAGAAAACCCGACGGTAAAAGTTCTGTATTTTATCAAAAAAGAAGGTGAAGAAGAAGAAGAATTCTATAACAAAATACTTTACAATGTACAATAATGCATAAAAAGTGAAGAAAAAATATTTAACAATATTGGAAATGAAAATAGATTAAGAACTCAAAAGAGTAACTTAGTTGAATGATAAGGTTTGTCGTTAGTATCCCTAGTGGAGCGGATTCGAGTCACAAAAATAATTTCTCCATAAATTGGGATAAAGTTGCAATCATCTTACCCTTCTTAGACTCCGTTTAAGCTAAGTTTGTTTTTCCGACTATTTAATTTTCTTAAATTACCGCAATATTTAAATGTTTGTTTCCTAATTTGTTTTTCTTAGTCTATTTGATTCAATACTACTTAATTTTTAATATTTATTTTGACGACATAAATTGGTATTTAGACAACAAACATAAAATTTACAACAAAATATGTCATACAATACAAAACAAGGCTTATAAATTGGATCGGATAGGATCGGATTCGGATCGGGATTCCACGATCCTATAAGATCCCACTACTAGGATCGAAAGATCCTACCTACAAAGAGTTTTTTACATGATCCGGATCGATTGTATTCAAATGGATCGTAAGATCGTAGGATCGTAAGATCCGGATCGGGATTCTGATAACCATGCTTGCAGCTTATAAAGCTCATGGAGAAGGCAAATGGAGAAACCTCCCAAAGAGAGCTGGTACCTTCTTTTTTTTCCCTTTTTTTCTTCTTCTCCTCTTTATGTTTTCTTCTACTCATTCTTCAATTATTGTCTCTTGATAGTTTACACTTGAAAATTATCTTAGTTTAATACTCGTGTTAAGGTAAATCAAATTAAAGCTATTGGCTTGGAAATTGAATTATTTATTTATTCTTAAATGATGTCAACATGTTTAATTTTTAATGAATTTCCTTCTTGATATTATTTGTGATAGTAGTTTAGGATAGTTGGAACAAATATTTCAAACTGTTAACGGGCAAATAGATCTGAAACAGAGTGTTTGGAAACACTAATATGTATTATGTTTGTGATTTATATAAACTAACATATTACATTATCATAATGTGGACAGGTACAAGGAAATGATAGGGTTGTTACAAATGGTAAGGTTCAAATGGATTGGGTTAGAGCTATATTGGAATATGCTTAAATTTTATCTCAAGTTGCTAGGTTTTCCAAAGTGGGCGCTAAGCTAAGCATTTTATTGTTTCTGCTGTCATCTATGAAAATTCAAGCAATACGCTATCGGTTTCCACTCATCCTTGTTGGAAGCTTGATATACAATCTTGGGTTCATTTCCTAACGACATAAACTATTGTGATGGTATCATAGCTCTTAAATCCAAGAAGTTCTGATTTAGTTTGTGTGTTTCTTTGGTTACCTCTTCACATGTGAGATGGCATCACATGTGAGGGTTGTGTAGGAAGCTTGCTATATATTGTTGGGTTCATTTCCTAACATATTAATCTTTTGGGACAATGATGACTCTACAATTCTGGAAGAGGAGAGTGAGTGGTCCCCTAAAGAGAGAATTTATGTCTGCAGGAAGCCATGGAGATTATGGTTGCTTGCTCTGCAATGGCTTTAGCAAAAAGGAAACAATCAAAAGGAGGAGATAACCAATCACTAGACAGCTCTTGAGACAAGTGGAATTGTGGAGGTATAATAGGAGCAGCTGCATTAACCGGAGGAACCTTAATGGCAATTATTGGTGGTATCACATCTTTAGCTTAGTCTTTTGAATATTTTAAATGCCATTGGCCAACAAGCTTCTAATGACGTGAGTTTTTTTTCCTGATGAATTTATATTTTATTGGCAAGAGGGTTAGTTGCTCCAGTTATTGCCACGGGTTTAGGTGCCTTAGCACATACATTGGGCACCCTTGTCCTTGTGATAGTAGCAAGCGGGTTTGCTGTCGGAACTGTTGCCGGTAGTTTTGGATCTCTAAATAGTTTTGGATTAACCTAGATATGCATAGCTTTTGGATGGTTTGAACTTTTAGAACTTGAGGATATAGTTTTTGAATTTTGGAATGTATAAACAATTGTTAAATGTTCATAATTTATGGATATAGTTTATTTTTTATGCTTGAAACAATGTTTTGGTGGTTGATTAATGTTTTGTGAAGCTTGTTTGTAATGTTTGTTAGATTGTTCAAAAAATGAGTTTTTACGGCACCAAATGAACGCCGCGGAAACGATTCTACGACGTGCAAGGTAAAGCCGTATTATGACCAGTCATAGAAAGCCATTCACTTCAACGGCATGTCGTAGTATGCCGTTAAGAATCCTTTAACAGCGGATGGCCTCGGTCCTTGTTTGCAGTGTAACAATTAATAATTGTTTATATGTTCTGATATTTTGACTAATATTTCTGCAAATTTAGGTCTAAACATGTCGACTATGACAATTTCTTCTCCTTGCATGTTCAAAAGTGCACCCAAAACAAAATCTTGTGCATTGATTAAGAATCCCCACTCTTTGTGTTCCTTTAAGAGTGTTTCTAAAGCATTTGGCTTGAAATCTTTATCCTTCTTCAGAGTATCGGCCATGGCAGTGTTCAAAGTGAAGAAGCTAATTGGACTGGATGGCCAAGAGAGTGAGTTTGAGGCTCTTGACGATGCATACATCCTTGACTCAGCTGAAAATGAAGGACTTGAGTTGCCATACTTGTGCAAGGCAGGGGTGTGCTCTACGTGTGCCGGGCTGATGGTTTTTGGATCGGTTGTGCCGGGCTGATGGTTTCTGGATCAGTTGACCAAGCGGATGGATCGTTCCTCGATGATAAACAGATGAAGAAGGGGTATGTGTTGACTTGTATCTCATACCCAACTTCTGATTGTGTGATTCACACCCATAAGGAAACTGAGCTATATTGAGTAATGTTTTATGGGGAAATTTGTAGCTACATGGCTATATGTTGTTGGTTATTTAGGCATGGGACAATGTCTTTTATCAGTGTTTCTTTGTTTAGCATTAAACCCAATATTTGTCCAAATTTAAATGCTTTTGAGTATGAAGTGGTGGTTATAGTGGTGATTCCTCTCATGCTCTGCCTCTCTGGCAGAAACAATAAATTTAAAAAGGAAAAAATAAATAAATAGAGTGCTTGATGCATTTGGGTTTTTTGTTTGTTTGCTTAAAATTCTATTTAACGATGGTAAGAATTTTCTTTAGTTGAAACCGTTTTGTTGTTGTCTTTCATAATGTCTTTACCTAACTTGCATCATATGGCCTATCATTTTGTTTAGGGGAAATATAGCTTTGGGAAAGCTCATGTTTAGAATGTTCAAAGTTTCACAATTTCATAGAGCTATGTTGAGTGATTTTTTATACTAAAAATGTAGTGAGTTTGGCTTCCCCTACTTTTTTTGTTTGTAAAATTTTTGGGTAGTATGGTGTATAAGGTGGCAATTTATATATATAGGTTGTTATAGTGATGCCTCATTTTGCTATTGATGCCCAAATTTGCTATTTTTCTTTTGATAACTAATTCACTCTCGCAGATCATCAATGCTGATTATTCATCAACTTAAATGTATATGCATTTATATGATGTGTCCTTGACTATAATATAATTTGAATTTTGGTTACAAAATAACTTGTATGTTGTAAAAAGTTGAAGCCATTTATTAAATTGTACAGGTAGAGTATCATCCTGTTATCTTACCCCTTGAAAATCAGTAGGAAAATGCTGTCCATTTTGCTTAAAGGGTGAGTCAACATTATTTGATTAATCTTTGTTTCCTTGTTGGCTTTAGTTGATATTTTAATATTAAGTATATTCTTATACATCAAAGTTTTTAATGGGCACATTAAATACAATTTGTTAATTTTTTGTATATTGTTAACATGCTCTGTATTTCATATGCTTAATCTCCTAAGCAATTCAGAACCAGTGGATGTTTAACACACCGTAAATATTGTAATTGAATTTGTGTGATGTTATGTCTACTGCATTTGTGTGTGGAAGCCTGTCCTTTTTTTTCGCATCTTTGCACAAAGAATTAGACAATTGATGAATGGTCTTTGGATTTAAAGTAATATTATATATACACAAAGATCAAAATTTTGTTTCGGTGTGTTGTTTCAAAAGTACAGAAACAAAAACATCTCGGAAATATTCTATGAAATGAAGATCAAATCGAAATGTTTGAAAATATAAATTGAAATATATCTAAATGTATAAAAGCTAATAATTGATTATAGCCATTCAAGTAAAAGAATTAAAAAACTAATGTCACCATGAACTAAAAATTATTAAGCATTGTCAAATAACTCAATTTTATTAAACAAAAATTTCCAATGAGGTCTAAAAACTTACTTAAACAGTAGCAATAAAAAACTAATGTTACTATGAACTAAAAATTATTAAGTATTGTCAAATAACTCAATTTTATTAAACAAAAATTTCCAATAAGGTCTAAAAATTTACTGAAACAGTAGTAATAAATGTTTTTGAAAATTTCTAAATTTGTATAGATACAATTTACTATTTTGGTATATCACACTATGTTTTGGTGTGTTTCATTATGTTTTGGCGTGTTTCAATGAAAACACTAGAATTTTGTTATTCCACTAGTGTTTCGTTTTAGTCTCTTGGAAAA